CACCTTTTCATATATGCATTGGCCATGTTTTCATTTATTTTTATTTACACAAATAACACACAAATATAACTTTCTTAGATAAAACACATGAATATAAAAATGCATCTGAAGCTAGGAGAACACCTAAAAAGCTAAAATTCCCCTGAAACCAATCCCTTCTCCAGTTTTGAGCACTGGACTTGGAGTCTGGAGACCTGAAGCCCAGCCCTGGTCTGCCAATGGCTTGTGTGGATTTGAACAATTTCCCTTTCTGGGTTTGTCTCCCATCTATACAATTAGAGTGTGTAACTAGATGGTCTCTAAAGACCTCTTTGCTGTCCTGACCACTGTTTGAGTGATTACAAGACACTCCATATGATGGGGATGGCCATTTGCCCCTATATCCATTCTCTCCTTTTTCCTTAGTAACTTAATCCAAGTTTCAGCTGAGCCACCTGGCTGCCCCACTAGACTCTGTTTTCCAGCTTGCCTTACACAACTAGCTGTGACCGTGACTAAGTTCAGACAAGAGCATACGGACAGAAGTGATAGGTGCAACTTTTGGGGTGTGCCCTTATAAAGAAGCATCTTGCCCTCCATTCATCTTTCTCCTCTTTCTGCTGACTGGAGAGGAGCTAATGGTGGGAACTGAACTCGCCATCTTTGACCATGAGATGGAAGCCAAGATGTGTTTAGGAGGACGGAACAAGGAGGGCGCCTGGACCCACCACACCATGTAGCTGACATGGTCTGGACTGCTCAGAGAGAAATATTTTCTTCTTAGCTATCATTACCTTGGCTTTTGTTATGACCACTGAACTTGAATCCTGACTAATACAGAGTAACTGGGGAATGACTTTAAATTGGGTGTCAGGGCAGGGTTTCTGAGGAAGTGACGTGTCAGCCAAGATCTTAACAATAAAAAGGAGACAGCCACACAGATTCTGGGGAAAAGCATTCCAGGCATGGGCGACCACTGCTGCAAAGCTCTGAGACTCCACTAGACTTCTGTGTAATGAGGCAGACCTGGTCAGTCACGGTGCCACATCTCCCATGCCATTGTTGATGGTGACTGAATGAAGAGGCTGGTTCATATGACCTGAGTGGGGCCAGTCAGAGAGCTCCAGAGATTTGTCGTGAATGACGGGAGAGGGTCTTTCTTTGGGATTGTAAGTCATAAGGACCATTTAAGGATCCTGTGGCTGTCAAGTGGCAAAAACCCATCTTAGAATAAAGCCAAGCTGAGGCAACCATATAAGAACTATGAAGAGACATAGCCTCTATGACAGCCTTTAACCCTAGACCCAAGCACACCTGACCTTATTGAAATCCAGTTATAAAAACCAATCATTTGCTTTTTTGCTACTGAATTGGATTGTGTCACTAGCAACCATAAGTATCTGGAACATGGGACGCTGGAAGTCACAGGCCCTTATATGTGGAATTGGCACGGTCCATGTAGGCTATGGGGTATGGGGCAGGTCAGGAGTCCTCCTTTCCTAGCTGGGGAATTGTTAGTAAAGTGGTTGGTTGAAATACCTGTTGTTTTTTGGGACCCTCAACCATTTGCCCACTGAAGGTGTAGTTTTAGGGATCGTAGTAGAAAAGTGAGATTGGGGAGCGCCTTGGGTGGCTCAGTTGGTTGAGCGTCCGACTTCAGCTCAGGTCATGATCTCACGGTTTGTGAGTTCGAGCCCCGTGTCGGGCTCTGTGCTGACAGCTCAGAGCCTGGAGCCTGCTTTGGATTCTGTGTCTCCTCCACTCTCTGCCCCTCCCGTGCTCATGCTCTGTCTCTCAATAATAAACAAACAAACAAAAAAAAGAAGTGAGATTGGTGGAATGTATTGGCTATTTGTTGTGGCCTTTAGGAAGGACCTACAAGAAACAGACAAGCTACCATCTAAGCAGGCACATCAGAGGGAAATAAAGTCAAGTCTCATTAAGAGAGGCCCTGAATGCTCACCAACTGCCTGTGATGCTTGGAAGTCTGAGAATATGCCTTGCCAATTGTGAAAGCTGAGTTCTCTCTGCACAAGGATAAAAAATTACGACTAGCAAGAGCAGGGCACATAGCAGGAGACTGGGACTGTGGAGGAACTAGATCCTTCAGGACCACCTAAACTCCTTCAGCTTGCCTGCCTGGCCATTGCCTCTGGAAACAAAACAGTGGGGCTGGAGCAGATACTAGGTGGCTTCTGATGACAAATCCTGACTTCAGAGGGCACCACTGCACATAGGCCGTGATGCCTGAAGGCAACTCAGCCCTAGGTGTACCCCCTTGAATAGCATCATGTTAGATCCCTAATTTATCTGTTCACTAGGAGATGGTGTGCACAGTGGTTAAAGGTAGAGGCCTTGGAGTTGAGCTGTGTGGGTTCGAATTCTAGTTCTAACCAGGAGTGTTTTCAGTGATGGGGTTTTAGATCCAGTTCTGCTACAACTTGAGTGGCCCTGGGTGAGTCATCAACTCTCTAGGTATAGCTCCCTCACTGCAAACCCAAGCTAAACTTAGGACTCCTCCTCTACCCTCTCTCCCAAGCTTTCCCATCTTAGTAAATGGCCCATCAGCCACCAGGAGCTCAAACCAAGTTTATCCTTCCCAAGAAATCGACCTCCTAAATCCATTCCCCTCTTCACCCCCTCTGTCACCACTCCAGTCCAGGCTACAAAATCTCTCCTCTGCGCTTTGCCAGTGCTGTCAAATGTTTTCATCAAATGCAAAATCAGAGTGCATCGTTCGCCTGCTTAAAATCCTTCAGATGGCTTTCCTTTCTCTTGGAATAGAGTCTGGAAAGGCTTCCATCTTCCTTACACGTGGCTTTTGACCCCCGCATGGCTCGGCCCTGGTCTTTTTGTCCTTCACTGTGCTCCAGCCACACCTGCTTTGTGTTCTAGCTCATTCTAGACATGGAGTTCCTTCTGCCTGGAGTGCTCTTAGCTTGGCTGCTTATCCTTCAGGTCAAGGGTTAAATGTCAGCCTCTCAGGGAAGCATTTTCTGACCCTTCAAACCCAGTCAGGTCCTGGTGACCTTCACAGCGCCCGTCACATCACCGGTGACACATCGACCTCCTGGTTCTCCTCACGGAGACTCATCCTCATTCCGCTTAACGTTTATTTCTGGGGGGGTCTGGGACATATGCAGAGTGGTTTGCCTCCTGTGGAGTTTGTACCTAAAGAGCAAGGTCTGTCTCCTGTCTCTCTATGCTGACAAGAACCAGGCCTCATATTAGCTTGGCAATGATGAGTCTGGGATGGTGCTGAAGAATGTTCCCCTTCATACTAATCAGAAATGAGCTCAGGAGCCAGGGGCCAAGGGGCCAGGACATCAGGTCCTTAGTTAGGTCAGCCGCAGCTCTGACTCAACCAGGAGTCAGAGGAGACTGGTCTGTCTACAGGAGCTGCCGGGAGTTCGTAACTGTACTACTTAAAATGGATTGTACTGCTTTAAAGTCTGAATTGAACCTGCTTTGGCCCGAGATTTGGGATTTCTCGTCACTTTGCAGATGGGCAGGAAGACTTGCAAAATGGCCCCTCTATAGCCGGGCCTTAACCTTTCCTAAGAGGCACATTATGCCGTGAGTCTCGGAAGAATGAAAGCACGCATCCAGGCACCCAAGCCAGAAACCCATGAGGGCACCCTTGTTTCCTCTGGTTCCCTAGACTTAAAAAGCTCAGGCAAAATCTGCTAATTCTGCCTGAATTAATGTATCCTGAATACTTCTACTCCCTCCTGCCTCTGCTGCTACCACCCTGGTCCAGGCCAGTGTCAGTGCTTTCTGGGGTCTACAAGAGCCTCCCAACCAGCCTCTTCCTCACGCTTCCTTTTTTTCATGGCAACAGAATGTGCGAAAGTGGAACACACATAACTCCTGGTTAAGATCCTTCAGATGGCTTTCTATCAAATGCAAAATAAGACCAAGCTTCTTACAAGGCGCAGGGCCTACCTTTCCAACCTCCAGTCCGGTCAATCACCCTCCTCTTCCTCACCCTGCTCCCAGGAGCCCTGCCAAGCTCCTCCCACCGCAGGACCTTTGCACACTTTGTGTCATTCTTGCAGCTTCTGGTGCACTTGCCTCTATTCTCTGGGAGGATCCCTTCTTGTCCCTTGGCCTCAGGGAGGGCTTCTCGACCACCTCTTGAGACACACCCATGGTCTGTTATTTTTGGTGTCAGACCCTTTCTTTCCTTCAAAGCGCTTATTACAACTTGTAACTGCTTTGTTTTCTCATTGTTGTCTGTCTCCCTATTATCCCTGCATAGATTTCATACACAGAGACAGGCTGAGGTCTGTCCTGCTATATCCCCAGTACCCGGCACTGTGTCTGGGCACCGAGCCGATGTTCTCAAACATTTTCTCGACAGAAAAGCCTTTTTGGTGGTGGCATCTTGAACAGCCAGGGACTCTCTCTTTGCTTCTGAACTTTGATCTTCAGAAGGCAGCGTTTCTGCTCATGAACAAGTAACTCTTCTCTGGGTATATGGCTCAAAGCAGACGATCTCAGGCAGCCTGGCAACATGGACCAGGTGGGAAGCACCTTCTGGAGGAATCGTGGCAAATCTCAAGTCTAAACCCGAAGATGTCAATCTAGGCCTCTGTCCCAGGGCCCAGCTATGCTGCCAGAGGCCTCGGGCTTTCCAGAGCTTCTCATGATTCAAGATGCAACCGCCCTCCTCTTTCCCTAATGCTCCAAGCCCCTCTCCCGGGCCCTGCCAAGCCTGTGCCCTTGGCTCCCTGTAGCTTTCAAGATGAAGCCACGCCAGAAGAAGGAGCTGGGGTGGTGGAGGAGGGCCTCAGGGATGACCCAGGGGAGGGGCAGGGAAGCCCGGGATGGCCGGTGAGACTCGAGTGGCGGGATCTGGCATGCTGGCAGAAAGCATGCTGGCAGAAAGCACCTACCAGCATGTGAACAGAAGAGCGCGCGGGCACAGTTCTAAAGCAGCATTTACTTTGGTTTTCACTTCTCCAAGGCCCCGGGACCTTTTAGAAGTTCTAGTTATGGGGTCTTGTACGCCGTCTCCATCACTCCTCCTTCAGCCACTGCAATAGCTGAGGCGTGTAGTAGGTGATGATGATGTCGGCACCTGTCGGGGAACAGAGGCAGGAAGTGGGGAGAGGCCAGGCATCAGCTCTGGGCACACCTTCCGGGAGATGAGGGCCAAGGGTGGGGGAGGCGACTACCATGAAGAGGCATAGCCCGTGGGTGTCACAACAGGAGACTGAGCCCAGCTCCGGTCAGTTAAGGCTCTGCACACTGTGTAACCCTGGGCAAGTCATTTTCTCTTACTGGGCCTCAGTTTGCCAACGGATAAAATGCACAACGGGAGAAATAAGTAAGTTGTAAGTGCCCTTCTGATGCTGTGCACACCAACAAAACCAGTTCCCGTTTACGGAGTGGTGAGCATTTGCTGATTATACATATCATCTCATTTAATCCTCCTGACAGCCATGCATCAGGTACTTTTTATCCCCAGTTTATAGACAAGGACACTGAGGTTCACAGAAGTGGCTTGGCTGAGGTCTCAAAACCAAAATGTAATAGCCAGCTCTGCTGTCTTCACTGTTCCATGTTCTGTTCTGCAATTCCATATCCCCTCCTCACCCCGTGTTTCTTTACATCACTGGTATTTCCAGGCATAAGGCTCTAGGCTGTCTCGTGACTTTATTTCCCTTTCTAGGCAAAGTGCCCATCAGCCCCGTGGCACAGGTCAAAAACCCCCAGCCCGGCCTGTTTACCTGCGCGGCGAAAGGCGGTCATGGCCTCCAGCACAGCAGCCTTGAGATCAAATGCCCCGGCCCGGGCTCCGTGCCACAGCATGGCGAACTCTCCAGAAACGTGGTACACAGCAAGCGGGAGCTCAGGGTGCTGAAGAAAAGCAGCGGTGGGTACATGAGTTGAAGTGGAATGGTGGCATGCCTCCAGGAATGTCCTTTCCTCCCTGCTCAACCTGTGAGCATCTGGAGCCCCATCCCCTGTGTCACTGCTGCTGGCAGCCTGGCCCACTCTTCTTCTTCTTCTTCTTCTTTTTTTTTTTTTAATAATGTTTATATTTTTGTTTGAGAGAGAGTGAGGAAGAGGGAAGGAGGGAGGGGCAGAGAGAGAGGGAGAGAATCCCAAGCAGGCTCCGTGCTCAGGGCAGAGCCTGACAAGGGGCTCGATCCCATGACCGCGAGATCACGACCTGAGCCCAAATCAAGAGTCAGACGTTTAACCAACTGAGCCACCCAGGTGCCCCTAGCCTGGCCCCTTCTCAAACTGTGAAAGCATAGCTGCTCAAAGGCCCCTGTGAGCCCCGGGGCCGATGCCCGTGGGGGTTCCGAGGCATGGATGTGGTGGAAGGATTCCTATTCAGGGGCCGACTGCTCTGAACTCAGAGTCTGCAGTCTCCCAGTCTGAGGTCCCGGGGTCTGTGGACAAACTCGCTCATTTCCCTGAGCCTCTCTCTGCTGGTCTCTGCTCCGTCTGCTCACCTTGTCCTTCACCTCTTGCACGATGTCCAGGTAGGGCATTCCTGGCTTTACCATGAGCATGTCGGCTCCTTCCCGCACATCCCGCGCCTGAGGGATGAAGTACTGTGTGGGTAGTGCCCGGGAGGCGAGCTGGGAGGGGGACGGGCCAGGTGGGGCTCGAGGTCTGGTCACTCACCACGGCTCGGAGGGCCAGGCCCCGTGCTCCTGGCGGCAGCTGGTAGCAGCGGCGATCGCCAAAAGCTGGGCTTGACTGGGCCGCGTCCCTGGGAAGCAGAGGCATCAGGGTGGGCGCCAGCTCTAGGCTGATGGGTCAGGGGTTTGAGAACGGGCCCCTGCCAATCCCCACTTACCGGAAAGGTCCATAGAAACAGGATGCAAATTTGGCGCTATAGCTCATCACTGATACCTACAGGGAGAAAGTGGGGGTCAGGGTTCAGGCAGCTCTTTCCAGATGTGTCAGGGTGAAGTGACAGGGAGAGAAAGGATGTAGGCTGGGAAGCAGAGTGCCCGCGGTCTAGTCCCATTAAAGCTCTGGGCCTTGGTTTCCCCGTGTGAGGTGCAGAGGTTGAGATGGATCCCAAAGGCCTCGTCCAGTGCTGTTTTCACTTCTGTGATTCTTTTTTTTTAAGTTTTTTAATTCATTTTATTTTTGAGAGAAAGAGAGAGAGAGTATGTGTGTGTGGGAGGGACAGAGAGAGAGAGAGAGAGAGAGAGAGAGAGAATTCCAAGCAGGCTCCACGGTGTCAGCACAAGGCCTGACATGGGGCTTGAACCCACGAACCGTGAGATCATGATCTGAGCCGAAATCAAGAGTCGGACGCCTGACTGAGCCACCCAGGTGCCTCTCACTTCGGTGATTCTTAGCACATGTGGGGACAGGGCTGGTCCAGGCTGTCTCCTTGCCCTCCCCACACCCGTTGCCACACTCCCCACCCTACCCTGTTGCCAAGTCCATGTGCCATCAGGGCCTCCTTGATGGCTTCCACACGTCCGTCCATCATGTCCGATGGGGCTACCACCTGACATCCTGAGGGGCAGAGGGTGGCCTTGAGAACTCCGGGATCCCCGTATCCACTCTGCCACCTCCCTGACCCGGAGCTGCTCATCTCTGCTGGAGGCTCACTCACCTGCCTTGGCATAGGCGAGTGCTACTTCTGCCAGCCGCTGGCGGCTCTCCTCGGCCTGGAATGTGCCATTCTTGCCCAGGAGCCCTGCAGGACAGACGGCTGGGTTTGGGGGAGCGTCTAGGTCCCCGGCCTATCCCACCTGCAGGAGGTCTCGGGCAGCAGGACTTGGGGAGGCGGGGGAAGCTCACCACAGTGACCGTGAGAGGTGTAGGGACACAAGCAGACATCACAGGCCACCAGGAGGCTGGGGAACGTCTTGCGCAACAAACGGATCGCCTCGACGGCTGGGGAGTCCTCAGAGTCGGCTGCAGAGCCCCGTTCGTCCTAGTGGCCGGGGAAGGACAAAGCGGTAAGTCTGTGACCTGAAGCCGTCCGGAGGCAGGACGGCCAGACCTCACGGACCACCCGGCTCCCTGCGTAGGGACGCAGTAAGGACTGTCTCCATTTTGCACAGGGCACTTGACCTACCCGGTCAGGGTGTCACAGCCCTACTAGGCTTCCTGTCCCTCCATGGTGCGGTCATTAGACAGGGGCAGTGTCCACTCACCCAGGCCCCAGGGCCAGCACGTGGCGGTAATGAGAGTGTGGTCAGCGTGGAACCTCAGCTCACCCTCACGCCTCCCTCCCTTGCCCTCCCCTCCAACTCTGCTTCTGGTTCTCCACCTTAGGGACTCTGCTGGGGACTCCAAAGACCAGGACGCAGCGCAGGCCCTCTTCCACCAGGGGCTTCAGCATCTCTTCCAGCCGGTTCACACCATATCTGCATGGGGGTGGGGCGGAGGGCCCGAAATGAGGTAGGTCCCAGGCAAGGGGTCCCCTCACCTGTCTGTTAAGAGCCAAGTTGCACACGGCACCAGGATGGCTCAAGCCCCACAATACAGGGAGGGGTAGGAATGCACCCACCAAACAGATGGGAAAACAGAGGACTGCAGAAACAGAGCTATGGAATTTAGCTCTGGAAGGCCCCTCCAAGGTTCCCGCTGAACTCCCATTTGCAGTCCAGCTCCCCCTGCAATAGACTCTGCTATGACATCTCTGGTGATGAATGGATTGCTCGTCCCTTTATGAGGCTGCCTCTTGTGTTGTGGAGCAACTCTGTCCCTGAGAAAACCCTTCTCTCTACTGGGCTGGGTAGCTTCTCCAGATCTATCTCTTGGGTCTGCTTCCTGGCACTTCCACCTGGGAAATCTCTCCCTCCATCCTCCCCTGGCCCTCCCCATCACGTCCCCTACCTGGCCACTCCCGGGAGGCTGTCGATGGGCTGTACGTCATCAGGAACGTCCCTGCAAGAGCGGGGAGGGGTGGGCTATGGACTGGTGGCTGTGGGAAGGGCCAGTGGCGAGGGAGTGACCGGGAGGGATGGCTGGGGAGATGGGAAGGAGTAGAGAAGCGGGGACGGTGGGAGGAGGCTGGGGTCCAGTGCCTGGTTCCCTGCCTGGCCAAGCCCAGGGCCTGAAATAGTAACAGGAACGACAAAAGAGTGACAGTGACAACAGAAGCGACTGGACTAAAAGAACAGTAATCACAGGAAGGAGTCAAATAGCTAAGAACTTGGACTCTAAAGTCAGCAGGCCCTCGCCTGCCCTCCCAGCCACTTACTGGCTGGGTGACCTTGGCCAACTTGTACCATCTCTCTTTGAGGCCAGGCCCTTCATCTGTATTTGGGTGGATTCGTTCATTCATTCAACAAATATCGAGCACTTATTATGTGCCAGGTACTGTTTACTCTCTGGAGATACAAACTGAACAAAACAGACACAAATCCCTGCCCTCATGGAGATGACACTCTAGGGAATAATAGCCATACCTTCCTCACACAAATACTGTCAGGACTGAATGAGAGAATACATGTAGGTGCTTAGCATAGTACCCGGTACACAGTAAGCACTCAATAAATGTCAGCCATTGCTATTACTAATAATCACGGCTGCCACCTCTTACATGTACATAGCTCTTTACAAATCTACAGAATGCCTTCTCAGCTTCTGTCTTGTTGCAAAAGGATGCAACAAGGCCGGATGTTATTATTCAGGATGGCAGGCCGGGGTTATTATTCTTATTTTCCAAATGGGGAAGACTGAGTTCTTTCAAGGTTTGTTTGGTTCCTAAAACTTGTCCTTAACCCACTCTCAATCTCTCTTTTTTTTACACACACACACACACACACACACACACACACACACACACACACCAGAGACCTGGACCATTCCTGGGACTCACGTGACAAAGATGGGGTAGATGAGGTTGAAGGCGCTGAGGGTGCCGGAGGTGGTCACTTGCCAGGCGAAGCAGCGGGTGGAAGTAGCCGCTGTGCAGAACCGACTGGGGCTGCATGGTGGGCAGAGCAACAGGCAGCCAGCTGGTTGAAACCGAGGGCTCCTGTGTTCTTGGTTGTGCCCCTCAGCCAGGTACAGCTTTCCTGGGGACAAGAGGAGGCACATGAGACATGGTCCCTGTCTCCAGGAGATGCCCCCCCCCCCCCCCCCCCCCGCCCAAGCTCTCTCTTCCAGATTCTTGCCTCCAAGTGCTTTCGGCCAGTGCACCTCCGATGTGGTTCACCAAGGCCTGCCGGTCTACGACGAGGTAAGTAGAGAAAGAGAAGTAGGTCCTTCAGACACTCTCCTGGCTACTGGAACCTAATAACATAAGATTTGGACTTGTGTTTTATAGGGTCTCTCTCTTTTTCTCAAATAACATTTCTCCAGCAATTCAATTTTATTTTATTGTATGTTACCCAAGGAAATCAATCTGTGATGGATTAGAAATTAGGATGAGAAGCACTGATATAGCCAACATTTAAACTTTGTTTATTCCATGAAAAATGTTCATGTGCTTGGCAGAAATTTTAGATAAGCAAAAAGAGAAAAATCTCCTGTAATACTACCTCTAGAGAAAAGCACCATTAACACCTCGGTACGGAGACTTCTGGCCAGGCGACTTCTGGCCTGGCGCAACACACACTAAGAGGATTAAATAGCACCTGACAGACAGACAGACTGGCAGACAGAACTCCTGTAGAGTGGCCATGGAAGCTGTCTTTTCCAGCCTCACAGCCTCCTGCTGCTCCCCAAGCACAAGCCACACTTGGCCTTGGCCACTTTCTGGAAGGTTTCTGTCCCCTTTACCTAGAAGGTTTGTGCTCTCTCCACAACCTCCTCGCCCCCAAATCCTACCAGGTGCCCCTTCTTCCCTCTCCCACTAAGCCTCTCTTGCCCAGATCCTAATCTCTCTTATGTAACAGCTCTTTGTGGATCTAACTTATGTCATTCCAGTAGACAGTGCTTCTGCAGGGCATGGTCCACAGTGAGTTCACTTCTGCCCTCCTCCCCACCCCCCAGCACTCTGCCACACAGTAAATGTTTAACTGCATGAAGTATAAGACAATATGCCCTAATGCCAAGTAAGTGGTGTAAGACAGAAGGAAGCTGGGGCATTACCATTCATTTCTTGAGCACCTACAACATGCCAGGCCACGCTGGGCACTTGTACACATGATCTCTCATCAAGGTGGCACTGTAGTCCAGGCGGTAGGGTGGATGGAGTGCCTCTCAGAGAGGAACCACCACAAGCGTACCAGGAGTTCCAATGGGAGTTTGGAGGTTGGAAGAAGCTCGTTGGAGGAAGACAGGGGCTTAAATTTGGATGTTTCGGGATGAGTGGGTTCAGCTTGGCAGAGGGAAAGGGGCGAATGTTCCCTCAGGAAGGGAAGTGAGGGGCAAAGGTGGGGAAGGAGGAAAGGCTGTTCTGAGGGCTGAGAAGACAATTGAAGATGTATGTCCTAGGGAGGGGACAAAGGGAGGCCAGACTGAGGACAGGGAAGATGGGGGAGGGGAGGGAGGTGGAGGTGGGGAGGTGGGAGTAGCCTAGTCAGAGCCTGGCTTTAGGAAGATAACCCTTGCAGGCTGATAAGAGGAGCACAGAGACTGTGGGGGTAGATGGGAGGAAAAGGAAGGGCCACCGTAAGGCAGCCAAGAGTCCGTCTCTTGGGACGGATGCTCTGAGCTTCCGTGACCCAGATGGCAATGGAGACAGGGACAAGGCAGGAAGAGGGTGGTGGGGAGCTGAGTTTTTGGAGGTGCCTGAGACAATACTCAGTAGCCAAGTGGGGGGGGGGGGGAAGAGCCACCAATCTCTCCTTGTATGAATGGGACCTCAAGGCCCAGGGAAGGGCAAGGACTTACCCAAGGTTACACTTAGCAAGTTAAGAGGCTAAAACAGTAGGGCTAGAAATCTGGTGTCAATTCCTAGGTGGAGAATGGGGGATGGGGGTCCTTGAGTACGCTGATAATGCCTTTCTCTCAGGTCCTTTTAGCCCCCCTCCCAACCAGCTCAGGGGCCCATTTTATCCAATTCTCCTCCTTGGCAGGGCTGGGGTTATCAGGAGCCACACAAGGACCCACCCTACTACCACACCCCTTGGCCAACCACATCATTGGACACAGAGGCGAGTCAGGTCTCCCCAGTGATGTCCTAGCCCCTAAATGAGCAATCAGTCATTCAGCAGATGCAAAGTCCTAAGTGCCCATTTTGTGCAAGACTTTGCTGTCAGGTCTGCTAGGGGTTAGCTCAGCTCAGAAAGGTTAAGTCCTCTGCCTAAGACCACGCAGCTGGTTAGTAATGGGCCAGAATTTGAATCTGTTTTAGACAGTGAGTATAGGGTTTTATCTACCATACCCATAAACACTTGATAAACACTTGATTCAACAGGCATCTCTCTGTCTGTACTACCTTTGCCTTGTGGGTGGGAGAGATGGATAGGCAAGAGAAAAGATACTGAGTGTATGTTATGTGCTGGGCACTGGACCAGGTACCTTTACATGTATCTCATCTAACCGCAGTGGTCCTTCCAACTTTTAGTGATAAGGAAATGGAGGCTCGGAGAGGTTAAGTGACTTGTTTGGAGCCCAGTCAGATTTTGAACGTGCCTCTGATTCACCTCCTAGAGAACAACCTTTGTAGCAGGACCCTGTCTTCTGGAATCCAAAGCTGCATTCCACTGACCTCAACTCCCCATCTACTTTAGAAGGCTGGGCCAGCAAATGCCTTCTGCTTATCAGAAGCAGCACAGCAGGCCAGCCAAGGTGGTTTGCAGCCCAAATTTTACCACAAGGAGGCTGGGAGGTTGGGGGCGGGGGCAAGGGTGAGAGGGTTGAGGGGGAGTCCTCACTAGGGCACAACCATTTGTGTCTGTTTCTTCTTCCTTTTTTTTTTTTTTTAAATGTTTATTCATTTTGAGAGAGAGAGCAAGAGAGAGCAAGAGAGAGCGAGAGTGCACACGGGCGTGAGCTGGGGAGGGGCAGAGAGAGAGAATCCTACGCAGGCTCCATGCTGACAGCACAGAGCCCAACACGGGGCTCGATCTCACGAACTGTGAGATCACGACCTGAGCCAAAATCAGGAGTCGGCCGCTTAACCATCTGAGCCACCAAGGTACCCCTGCATCTGTTTCTTTAATTTTAGGATTAGGGAGAGATTTGATTTGAGAAACGGGTGTCAGTGCTGAGAAAATTAGAAAGTTGAGAATCACCAATCCTGTCCATTTCTTACATTCTGATGTGGAAAACGAGGTGCAGAGAGGTGACAGGCCTTGTTTGACATCACACAGTGAGTCAGGTACAGAGCCGGGCTTGACCATGAGTCTCCAGCCTTCTAGTCCAGTGCCCTGTCACCTACACCACACACTGTCATTCTGTTACAACAGGCACTTAATAACTAAATATTTGTGGAATAGAAAAACAGCCTCTAAGCCAGAGTTGCCTGTTTGCAGAGCCAAATCCATGCCAAGGTTTTGCTTTGCAAAAAGTCCCTCAAGACTGGGAGATTTCCACACATTTGGGAGGGCACTTCTTCCAAATCAAGGGACCTGCAAGCCACAGCTTAAATCCTGTGACACCTCAAAGACAATGGCAAGTCACCGTGGGACTCACCACGGGACCACCTATGCTCACCCACATTAGAGCAGGTTAGCTTAGCTGGAAGGCAGCAGCACAGGGTGGTGTAGAGAGAACCTTGTTTCAGGGTCATAGAGGCCCAGGTCTGATCTGTGCTGTGTGGGTGACTTCAGGGAAGGTTGCTGGCCTTTCAGGGCCTTCATTTCATAATCTATAAAATGGGAATGATACTACCAAACCTGCAAAGCTGCGGAAATTAGATTAGAGATAGTTAGGAGGTACGTGCCTGGCACCAGGTAGCAGCACAGTAAACGTGTAGCTACTTTTATCATCATTCGGAGCAGAACTGAACTGGAAGGAGATCTGGGGTGAGCCCAGCAGTGCCTTCCCCACCACACCCAGAAGGGAGAACTTGCACTCAAACCTGTGTGGCTGCAGGGTCTTCTGAGATACCACACAGACGCTACAGTAGAGGGTGGACTAGATGTTAATCTATGGGAGGCGCCTGTGTCTCCAGGAGCCAAGGATGGCTTCGTGCAAGAGGTAGTTCTGCAGACTGATTATGAAGGTACTTCCTTCCTTAAGTCACTAAGTTGGGACCTGAGAGCTGCCAGAATGGGGGTGAGGGGGTGGGTCAGAAGGAGCTGCAAGGCCTGAACTTCCCATGTTATGCTCTGCTGAGGATTTCAGAGGCTGTGCTCTTGGCGCAGAGGGTGGGGAACTGCTGCCAGCTCTGGCAGGCTCTGCCACTAGTTGGGGAGGAGGCAGTCAGGAGGGCCAACTAAGTAGAAGGTGGCCAGGGCTGAGAAATCCAAAGCCCCAGAAGGGCCCAGGACAGCAGCTGTCAGGCAGTTCTGAAAAGGGACCAACTAACCAGCATTTCCTGAATATCTACCCTGAGCCATCCCAGTGCTGGATATAGGGATTAAAGAGAAGCAGGAGACCGAGGCCTTGACCTAGGGCTTTGAAGAGCCCAGCCTCTTCTGGGCTTAGCCATTTGGAGCTACAACGAGAATCGGCCAGTTCCACAGACTCCTAGAATATCTTGGCTAAGAGGCTCCTTAAAGCTTGTTGATTACATCATCAAAATAATGGTGAACTGGGCTCAGAGAAAGGCAGACACTGGCTCAAGATCTCGCAAGGGGTCAGTGGCAGATCTGGGCCTAGAATCCAGGTCTCCAGCAGCCCAGTTCTCAGTGCCCACCATTAGCCCTTGCTACTTTAAGTATAGATTTCAAAGCTGCTTACCAGCAGAGTTGGGCTTGTGGAGAACTCTGAATGAAATAGGGGGGTATGAGGAAGGAGGCAGAACGTTGACTCTGGACTTGGCTACAGCTGACAGCCTGATGGTTAAGCGTGTGGGATTTGGAGACGGTAGACATGGGTTCAAATCCTGGTTCTGTCACTTTTCAGCTGTGCGATCTCAGTTTCGTATCTGGCAAA